AAAGCACATTATTGCAGCGCATACGGGGTACCTAGGGTCACAAAGGATTGCTTCCTCCTCTCTATGCTTCATAAATTAAAGCCACTACACAATTATAGGCCAGAGATTTCCTAATTGTTGCCAGATTTAGGCACGTCTAACCTTTGCTGGAGGAACTGAGGAAGGCTGGGCATCCGTTTCCACATCTGGAGGGACCAATCTAAAATTACAAAACAGTGGACCAGAATTAGACCCCAATTCTGAAATTAGAGGAGCTGACTTGACTAGTCATTAGACATATTAGCGTTTTGTAGAAATCATGGGGCAACAAGCACATGTGTAGTCAGAGTTATGAAAAAGAGACCTCCCCCCACGCAAACAATACTGAACTCAGAAGAATCTTGGATGCACTCTTAATAGAAAAACACAGATGGTTTGAGATTGGGCTAAGCATCTTTAGCCAAGTGTAGCTATTTTTTCTAGAAATCAAGGAGCAAGATAACTCAGTATTAGAAAGAGACCAAAATTAATTATTTTTTCTATATACATTAATTACAAGTTCCCAGTGTATACTAAACATTTTTTTAAATGCTGTTTTAAGCATGATGCATGGGATGCATGAAATTTTGCTTTCTTGGCTCCAACCTTGCAAACATTTGTGCACATAAGTTTGCATGTGTGGATAGTTCCAGTTAGTTCAGTGCATTAAGTGAACGATGTGTGCAAGCGTTTGCAGGATTGGGGAATTTCTTTGTGATCAGACTCGGTGTAGTCAAACTGTAAAAGTGAATTAAAAAATAATCTTTTTGTAGAAGTAAAAAATTAAAACTGCACAAGAGCACAGAAACATCTTTTCCCATGGTGTAACATTTGAAATTAAGACAAAGTGTGGGTCCTAAGTTGTGTACCCCAAGTCTGCGCCTCTTGACAAGGAAGATTTGCAGAGTGGGTGACTCTCTGAAGGTTAGGTTCTGATAAATATCTGAAAAGCAGGTTGCTTATCTGAAGTTAACCAAACCACAGGGGCCTAGAAATATGCTAGGAGTCTCATAAGATCATGTTTTCTTATGAGATTTCCAGTACTTTCTTGTTTTAGCTATGCTGGAAATCTCACAAGGAGAGATCCTCCCACAGTACCAGGATATTCTGACTCTGGTTTTGGCTAAAAGCTGGAATTGTAAAGGCATATGTAGTTTGTTTTTTTAAAGGATACCCAAACTTAAAACACACAATATACAGTTCGAGTCTGTTTTTGTTAACTGTCTTTGCTCATCACTGTCATTTTCTTCCCAAACCCTGTGCTTCAGAACTGAGAGGTCAGCCCCACTGTCTTCACAATATGATGTCATTTCATACCATAAACATTATCTGAGCCAAGTGAAAGTACATCAGACACCTGGAACCTACAGTACAATGAAAACTCCTTTAGCTTAGATTTAATATAACTGACATATCAAGCAATTACCTGGCATATTTACGGCATCCATCCTTTCAACCCCATTGCAGGGAGGAGTAGAAAATATTGCCTAGGAAAAATAACATTTAAAATCTAAATAGGTTACATTAATATACATCACAAGTATGCTGACAAGTGATGTGCCAGACAAGGATAAACATGAATAGTATACTATGCACACTGTATAGATTAGAGATGGGCTAAATCAAAACCCTGGACTCATACAGCCATGAACTTTGAGGCAGCTCTTATCTGGATCTGAATCTTGTGAGCTCATCTCTAATCTACACAGTAAATATTGTAATATTATCCTCTTTAAAGAATAAGAATGACTAATTTGAGATGAGTGATGTCTTCTGAAAACTCTACAATTCTCAAATAGAGGTACAGGAATTCTAACAGGGAAAGGTTTGTACCACAGGCTACTATTCAATTTTTCCAGCTAAGAACACAGGCATCTTATAGTGTGTTTAGGTTACAAAATCTCAGGGGCAGAGGCTGTATTTGTGTTTTGTATACTGCCAAGCACATTGTTAACACTTAATAAATTATTATTATTATTATTAGAAAGAAAATAATGACCTTGGGAAAAAGGATTAGAATTTTCAAAAAGCTGTTCATTTTAATTTGGTTTTCAAGGAACACTAACCTGCTTAAAATACCAAGAGAGAGGTACAGCACAGATAGATTTTAGTAGCATTCTGACTATTACGATAGAGTATTCAGTAACAATAAATGCCGGTGGAATGTAGCAGTGCATTGTTCCAACAAGCAGGGGTTCCCGCAGTTGCTACTTCTACACAGTACAATGGAACCTCACGTCCTTTTCAAGTTCTAGATCTGCAGTGCTGTGTTGTTACTGTTTTTAAGACACCAATGCCACAATTTTCAGAAGGGTTCTGCTCCCACAACTGGGGCCAGACTTTCAAAAACGCTCAGTTCCTATTTAGGCACCTAACTAAGGAGTCATACTTTTAAGAGCGCTCTTTAAAAATCTGGCCATAAATGTCACAATGGGAGTTGACAGCTGCAGCGCACTTTTGAAAATCTGGCTTTTATTTAGGTCTTACATAGGAACTGAATTCATCTGAAAAGTCAGGCCCTAATTGTGGCTGCTGAGGCTCTTGAAAACGTAACCCCAGAAGGCAAGCCAGACATCCTGCCATATAAGTAACCTGAATTCAAGTTTTGCCCTGAGCTATATTGGGAGGGGTGTGGGGAGGAGAGAGATACAATGGAGACAGCATGATCTTCTCTGCCATACTACTGAACATCTAAGACCATAGTGCCTGAACCTGAAGTACTTACACATACACAAATCCCATTGAAGTCCATCCTATTTTTGCTGTTACAATACCTGCAGAATCAGACCTGAATTCTGAACCAGTTGGCACCCAAGAAAATTCCCAAAATCCAGAGCATGAAAAATAAATTATCCTCCTTTTTTCTTGATTATACAAGTGCTGCCATTTGAAAGGGCTGAAATCAACATATACACTAGATGTAGGGTTGCTGAGACTCCAGGAATTAAAGATTATGTCATGTGATTAAACTCCAGGAATATATCCAACCAAAACTGGTACCCCAAACTAGATGTCAGCAAAAATAAGAAGGGGGGGGGGAGGAGAATTTCTTACATTTGAAGTTTCCTGAAAAATTTCAGCCTGGGTGTGATATCTGCAAAGTTTTGCAAGTTCCCAAGCTTCAGTGTGGCAATTCCCTGCTCTTGCTCCCACTGACGTCATTGATAAAACACTCCTTAACGTCAATGGAAGTAGAAGGAACTCTTCTGGAAGCTTTAACAGGAGTTGGAGTCAAGGGGACTACTCCCGTGATTTCTTAAATCTTACTTCACATACTGTATGTAGCTGCTTCGTTTTCCTTCACCTAAACCAAAACTAGAAAGCAAACCTACTAAAGCATATGAGAAAGAAAAATTGTTTATCTAAGATTACCTTGCATGTACGTTCTCTCTTTAACACCGCTTCCAGATCTAGAGTTGAAAACTGGTGTGGAGCATACCACTTGCAGAACAGGCACACATCTCCCCTGCCATTCCTAACCTTTCCAACAACCAGAAGTGAACTGGACAGAGAATAGGGTTGGGGCTTACTGCAGTGGCTACAACCATTCCCCTTCCACAGAAGTAAGCCTCAATATTTCCAAAAGAAAAAGGATTGGGCCATCAGAGAGCTCGCTGATTCAATATATTACATTAGCTCCAAAGCCCACGAGAGAACACAGTAAAGATCAAATGCTGCAATGAGGTCCACATGGGCAGATTCCTGGGACCTAAGTCTTCATCCTATAAATCTTAGGAAACCTTAAAAGAAAAAGTGCTGGTCACGATAAGTAAAAGATCTACAATGAAATTACAGGTTTTTTTTTTTTTTTTTTTAACTTTATTTTTTCCACTATAGCAAGTTTTGTATTTAAAAATGTTGGGACAAAGGACTATTGGAATAATTCCCAGGAGCTTCTTAAAGGGTGAGGTTTTAGGTGAAGTACTTTGATGTACTCCTCCTCATGATAAACTATTAAAATTCAAAATTAGACAAAAATAATTAAAAACAAATGCTCCTGGCCACAGCCATTGTGTGCTAAACTACACCCCAGAAGGAGTGTCTGTAGCCAAGCTACAAACTTGTAAAACCTCCATCTTCTGATGCCCCTAACACTGCTCAGATCCATTTTCTTCTTGTACGAAGGCTGTATTTTATTCTAAATCCAGCCACCAACACCAGTACAGTACAACATCACAGTTTTAACATCTACATATTTCATCCCTTCTTTGCTAGGGCCCTGGGAGGCAAGGAGGTCTCCCCAGCTGTGTCTACACAGCAATGCAAGCCTACGGTTAGTGGGACTTGAGTCAGTTGACCCGTGTCAGGGAACCCTGGGCTTGTGCGTCTACACTGCATTTTAACCCTAGGTTAAGAATTTTCTGACCCTTGCTCAAACATAGGGCTCTGGCATCCACACTGCAGTGCACAGACCTGAGTCAAAGTAACCCTATCCCAGAGTTCCTAGCGCCACCCCCCTCCCAATGTCAACACACTAGCCCTAGGAACGGGGTGCACTATGAAATTCATGGACAAGCTGGGACACTATTCCCACCAAATGAGATTGTTATGTGCTGGGGGGAGGGAAGGGAACTGGCTCATTTTTGGCAGGGGGACAGTGCCTGGGAAGGGGGTGGTCTTGATAACACATTCCCCCTCCCCCCGCCTGGCCTGGCTGCTGCTGGCTCTATAGCAGTAAAGTGCATCCCCAAGGCTTGGGGTGCAGCAGGCACCAGCATCCCCTGGGGATCCCTTATCCCTGCCCCCGCTGCACACCAGGAGGCTGCAGGGATGTTTCGGGGCTGGCTCCCACTCACTGAGCTGACAGTGCAGACAGCCCCAGGGAGGGCAGGGGGAGCCCCCGAGCAAGGGCCAGAGAGTGGAGGAGCAGGGATCAAGGGCTACCCAGCAGGAAGAGGGAGTGGCAGAGCTCCCGACTCAGCCCAGCCCAGCGAGGGGATGATCCCCAACATCCTGGCAGCCGGGTTCTGCCTTCTGCCTTGCAACTTTGCTCCCTTCAAATCGTATAAATCTTTCGGCTTTTACTAAAGATTTCCGTGGGGAGGAACATTTACAAGTTTCTACCTAATTTTTTGAGGCTTTGCTTCGGTGAGGCTGAAAAAACTTTGCTCCCTGCTCTGGGCTAGCTCCGAGCAGCAGCAAGGAGGAGCTGGAGCCCCCGTGGGAGGAGCAGGAAGTGGGAGCGCGCACTTTTGGCCAGCTGTGCTGGCTGCCTGCAGCACTGCCACTCTGGAGCCAGGAGCTGTGGGATACATCTGGAGAACTCCCAGGACCCGACTCAAACTGGGGCCACATGCACATAGGAAAGCAATAGGGCTCAGACCCTAGTTCCTGGCTTGACTCAGGCTCAGACCTTCCAGCCCTGTAGAGTCCTAGGACCCTGGGTTTGAGCCCTAGGTTAGTACAGTTGCAGTGTGGATGCAAGGAGGGCTTGCTTTGAGCATGGGCTCACATTGCTCTGTCTAGGGAGCTCCTTCATTCCAAGCTCATCTAGTAGCCCTGTCCTCCTCTCCTGTAAACCTCCATCCTGGCTTATCAGGTTAGTCCGCTGAAGGCTAATGAGTTCCTTACATCCCCAGCCTCTCCTTCTGATTAGCTAATTATTCAATCAGCCACTACTGGGGGAACTAATTGAGGCTACAATGATCAGAGTGCTGACCCACCTGTCAGCTCTCAGCACTCTGTCCACCGAGGGGTTAACAACAGAAAAACCGGCAGCACTTTTCAAGGGAGTTTAGTGCTTACGAAATGTGCCACTTTGACAACCTTGGAGAATGAAACCCTCCGTTACTGCCCAGAATGCTTATAGCGCAGGTAGCCACAGGGCTTTCTTACCCACAATGCACACCTGAGGGACCTGCTCTTGGGGTAAGCGTGTAACTCTGTTTCCATGAGCCTCAAGTGACACTACCAGCAAGGATGTCAGCTAACACCAGTTAAGACAAGAGTGTTTTTCAGGTGGCCACCTGTCCATCATGAACTAGACTGAGATCAACAATCTCAATGCCCATAATACAGGCCATTAAACAGCAAGTAGAAGGTGATGATTTTGTATCACTTCTGACCTAGGCCAGATTTGGGGGGGGGGGGGAGGAGGGGAAGAGAGAGAGAGACCGAGCCATGTAATCCTCAAACAGCCACAACCACTGCCACCCCTGTCTTGTTCAGTGAGACAGCAGCTTTTGAGGCCAAAACATGCTAACAATTTTTAAGCAATAGTCCCCATTGAAACCAAGAACAGTTGTTCTGAAAAGTGAGGGGCACAATATGACCCATAGAATGGTACAATTAGAATATATAAAATATATCTTACCAGAGGACATGGTTTGTTGCTGTTGTCTAATCATTAGCATGAAATATTAATAATTAATACTAACAATGCTACTATAAGACATTCTATATAAATATAATATACAATGAATACACTGTCCCACCTATACAGTACAGAGCACTTACATAACACTGAAACAGTAACTGACCAATGCACCCAACATTCCAGTAAAGTAGGTAAAGCGTTACTGTCCCCATTTCACAAATGAGGAAACAGGATCCTGCATTCCCATCCTTCAGCCTTTTTTGTTGTTGTTGTTGAAGTGAATATAAATTCCATATGAGTTCTGAAATACAGATTCTGGATCACATACACACACACACACACCCCGCCCCTTTATCTATGGAATTAGTGGAGAGCAAATGGGGTAGGGCCAGGAAAACAAATATAGTTCAGGATTTTATTTGTCGATGTGAACGCTTAGCACTATAAAAGTAAAAAACAAACACCAAGCCCAACGTGGGTTCCCCAAAAACAGAGACCCCCAGAGCTAGTGTAACCTATTCAAAATGAGGGCCTTAGCAACCTACTCAAGGGTACAGCTGGGGCCAGTGTCATCAACAGAATTAGAACCCATGACCTCCTGGTTTCCAATGCTGTACTTAAGGGCCTGATCCAGCTCCACTAGGAGTCTTTCCACTGACTTCCACAGGAACTGGATTGGGTCCATAAGCAACTAGCCATCTCTCTCAACATGCAATATAAAAATACATTAAAATATGCTAGAAGGCTGTTTCTCATTAGAAGGAGACACATCCCCTGAAGTAATAGTAAGTGACAGAACATCCATGGAAAGAAAGGAAATTTTATCTGTATTCCAAAACTTATTCGTTCTTTTTGATAAAACACAATGGATGGGATTTTAAATTCTTGCCTGTTTCTAAAATGTTCCTCTCTTTCCACTGCTCCCCTCTATGCCTGGTATTATTACAATATGAATGCTTAATATCTTCAGAGCCTTATGTGCAGCAATAAATTCATATGTTGAAGAGATTTTTTTTTTAGAATTGGTGACAGTCCAGGATGTGGATTAGTGGTTTTACTCGAAATCTCAGTGTATATCACCCAGAGACTAGCACAGTCTCTGAACAGAATATTTTCTAGCCTTGCTTAGCACCACTTAGCCTAATTAAATAAAGACAAGTAACATAAAGAGAAAATAGAAACAAAGCAAAACTATATAAAGAAAACTATTTGCCAGTGTTTGCAGTAGTCTTAGAATCCTGGAAAAATTCTGATCTGCTCATCCTTCCCTAGCCACCAGTGGCTTTACTCTTCCTCTTTGCTCGCCTTCCCTTCCAGTCTATGCCCTTATTAGAGCTGAAATCAACACTGCTGCTATTGCTTATGCAAAATGCCAGTGGCCACATTTTGAATTTAGTACACCCATGCCAATCCCACTGAAATCTACTCTAGCACCTTCCCCTGAAGCATCCAGTGCCTCCGACCCACTGAGACAGGATACTAAATTAAGGGAAGTAGCATGGTCTAGTGCAGGGGTTCTCAAACTTCATTGCTCTGGGACTGCCTTCTGACAACAAAAATTACTGCTCACCTCTGGAGGGGGGCTGAAGCCTGAGCCCACCCAAACCACGCTGCCCTGGGTGGGGGAGCCAAACCAAAGCCTGAACTCTGCCACCCCAGGCAGGGAGGCAGAGGCCAAAGCCCAAGGACTTCAGCCCCAGGCAGGGGGCCTGTAACCTGAGACCCGCCACCCACAGCTGAAGCCATTGGGCTCGGGCTTTGGCCCTGGTCGATAGGGCTCAGGCTTCAGCCCCAGACCCCAGCAAGTCTAATGCCAGCCCTGGCAGCCCCATTAAAATGGGGTCACAACCCACTTTGGGGTCCCGACCCACAGTTTGAGAACTGCTGGTCTAGTGGATAGTGAAATGGAGTCAGTAGAGACCTTGTTCTATATTCCCAGCTCTGCCACTGACCTACTGTGAGACTTTGGGCAAATTACTTCCCTTCTTTTTCACCTTGATCTCTCTTGCCTATTTAGACTGGATGCTCTTTGGGGCTGGTGTGGTTTCTTACTACATGGAACAATAAGGCCCATTCTCAGTTACAGCTTCTGGCACTAGAGCAATGCAAATACCAAACAGTCACAGAACAGCACTGATTTGATCCGGTTTGGCAATTCTTATTTTTCTATGAAATATTTTGATGACCACGAGAATATTCACATATTTCAGAAGTTTCACAAATTTATTCCAGAAGTGTTATTGTTCCTTCATTATTCTCCTCTCACAAGTTTCAGTCATCCAAGAAAGGACCACAAACAGTAACATATAACCAACTCCATGCTATGAATAATAGTTTGACAACACCGAATAACTAAATGAAATCTTTCATTCATGAAATCTTTGCAAACAAACCACAGACAAAAAACATATTCACCCAGTCTCTTGAGTACTTAGAAATCACAAATACAACCCCAGAATCAGAAAAGACTTATAAATGATCTGCAAAACAGAAAACAGCCTTCATTAATTTACTATTTGGATTGACAAAAACTATTAAAAAATCCCATAAATGGCATAAGAGAGCTATCCCAGCCATCTTGTGGGGCCAACCTTACAGGTTATTTACAAATAGAAAACCCACATGTTCTCTTTCCTTCAGCAATGTGAATTTATGTCCTTCACTGACCAGGCTAAAATGGGCATTTCAGAACCATTAAAAGCTTACTGTACCTTTAAAAAAAAATGTTTCGGTTCCACAGATTCTCACTGGCCAGCTTAACTCAATTATCATGACCCAGAAGGCATCATTCCATGATGTCACAGCTTCCAGAAAGCTGCAGCAGTAATAAGTCAACCCATCAGGTAAGACATTTTATTAGTAAATGGCACCATTTTTAAAGTTCCTTTTAAAATACAATGTTATACTCTTTGGGGGTTATATATTACCTACATGAAACATACACACATGCCACTAGGCTGGCTTAACTGAATTTGCCTTGCTACATTGCAATGGAAAAGTCAGTTCTACCATTCACATCTACTGTAACAAAGCAATTCTTAAGCATCCTTAGTGATATATTATGTTAATATAATGCACATAGTGCCTCAAGGAAGTACACATTTTTGAAGTTCATAAATACCTAGATCTACGGTTCTCAAGATGGGGTCAGCTGTGCCTCTCAATTTAGGGAGCAGCTCGCTTCTCTCTGCGTTTTTGGTTCTTGTGTGTGAAGGTTCTGAATTCTAAGAAATCAAGTCGTGTAACACCGCAAACCTTCCAGAAAGAGAATGTTATGTTTTTACCTAACTTCTCTTTGTATGCAATGAATATAACAGGAAAGACAGGTTGGTTGCAAGCTAAGCACCTGTTTGCAACCACCCTGGAGCCACAATCCCAGGTTGAGAACCATTCTCTAGGTGAATCAAGAAAGGTTCACAAATATCTGATAATTGAAATGAACCAACTTAGGCTTGTTTCAGATATCTGCTCGTACGTGGGTCTGTCTAACAATGCATACTGATATCATTCTCAAAAATGTATTGCACTATGTCACTCTAAATCACTTCATTGCTTTTTCCACAACCAATTTTTTCTCCAAACTTTGCATTGTCCATCACTGAGAACCTCATACATACCAAGTTTGAAGCTTGTGTGCTTATCTGTCTACAAAACAATGAATGCTGACATGTGAAAATCACAGGGATGGGAGGGTTTCATACTTACATACTTGATGTGGTTAATGAGATTTCATTAAAACCCATGTATGCCATTGGGCTGGAATCTTACAAATACTATAAA